AGGCATAACCCCCATAACCTATTCTAATCCTCAAAATCCCAAATTGTATGAAATTTATAGAGTGATGCTGTACAGATGCAAATCACTTTGTGCAACTACACAGCAGGAGAGTCAGTAATATAACTTCTGACACCTGCGCCCATGTTTCTCCACCAAGCCCATTTTCCAGAGTGAAACATCTAGTTAGGTCAACACACCTAAAACTAATCTTCGAACACAATGCTCAAGGTGCAAACCAGTAACAGCCTAGAGAAAAAGAAAAGAATAAGAAAATCATGCCAACTGGGATCTCCCCCTATGAGGTGAACCCTAGTTTCCTCAACTGTTAGCTTGCTGTTGACTGTTAATATCCAAGCCAGAACCCTACAAGGTTTCTTGTAAGTAGGTATTAGTAGTTCTGTCCTGAACTTATAAGCTAAATAAACTTTTGTAATCTCGTGGCTACTTTAGAATATCCTAATATATGCTGCACGGCATTAGACCAAACACTTCCCTCTCTTAGTATAAGCTACTTGCGTGGATGTTTTACAATTACCTTCTTTCTCTAAGCGCCATCTGGGTCCTATATTTAAAAGCGATTGGAAGCATCTCATGAAAAGAACCAATAGGGGCCCATCACCCAGACTGCCTCCACTTCATTCTCAGTCCAAGCTACGACACACACCTAAGCCTCGCCGGCGACAGAAACCGACTTAAGGTTTTGAACTCGGTGCCACAATCCAACTCCCTACTCAACAGCATCACACGATTAAGGACCAGGCAGGATAAAAACGCGACACTGAAACCTGCGCGGAAGCTATCACACCACGCACGCAACCATACACACGGTGGCACGAAGGCCCAGGACGCCGGGGCTGGAATTGCGGAAGCATGCCCTGCGTCTCCGCCAGATTAACTTTACTCTCCTAGTCCCCAAGAGACGGCTCAGTCTTTCTCGAGACGTCCCTAATCAGAGCCGCGGCCAGGGAGGCCCGCCCGCAGTCCCGGGCCTCGGTCGCACGATGTACGACGCTCTAGATCTGGCAGGTCACGTGAAGTTTCAGCCAGGCCGGCTAAGCAGTCTCTCTAGGACCCTATCGCACAGTACCAGCGGACACTAGGTAGTAATTCGGGCCTGCAGAACGCAAGGAGCAGGAGCCACGCGGAGACACTACCTGGAAGATGGCGGTTCCGGCCGAAAGGAAGGAGGCGGGGCCTTAGCGCGCGCCTTACGAGGGCCTGTGTGGGCTGCCCGCGGCGCTGCCTGAAGGAAGCGCCAACCGGAATTACGTCTTCCAGGCGAGGGAGCCGTCCCACAGAACAGAGGGACTCAATTAGCATGCAGAGCTATCCTCTGCTGCAAATAAAACAGAATCGGCCAACGAAAGCTGACAGAGGGATTGTGTCGAACAGCCCCGTAGGGGGCCTTCAAGGGCATCCCCTGGACGCTGACGTCAAGCGTGTCGGCGACGCAGTCGCGTCACACGCACGCCGGAAGCGAGTTGCTGTGATTTTTGAATGAGTCTGCGGCCGCGGAGTTCTTCAGAGCCTTCAAAGACGGTTCTTGGGGCTGGTGAGATGGCTCAGTGGTCTAAAGCACCTACTTAGAACAAACTAAGCTTAAGCTAAAGCACAGGAACCGTGGTTCAATCCCCTCGCACCACGTGCCAGCCAGCCCCGCCCCCTGGTGGGTTGAGCTGGACACACACACACACACAAAATAAATTTCTAAAAAAAAGAAGATGGTGCTTGTTTCTGCTTGTTTGCAAATATGGTTACAAGGGCACAAAATTTTTATTATAATTAGACAAAAAT